CAGCAAAAATAGGGTGTACAGCACATATTCCGGAGTATAGATTCAAAAACCAACCGTTACCCCTCTTTGATCAAGATGAATATTTATAAAAGACATCGGCCTGCTGCTGTGCCACACCATCCGACCTTCACTGCTGTGTACTGACCTGCAACACCGCCTCGTTCTCAGAGCAACCTTCCTTGCGGAGGTCGAAGAGTAGCATGAGGACCATCCTTGACTGCAACTGGGTCCAGACCTCGCCCTTCTTCGGCTTCACCTCGTGCACAGATGTGTCCATGTAGTCCAGGCCCTGAGCAACCTTCTCCGCCGCAGCAGCAGCTGCTGCTTGGACGCGCTCAACCTCCTGCTGCTCACACTTTTCCCGCTGAGCAGCGGCGCGCGCCATTTCTTGCTCCTTCTTGGCGAACGCAGCCTCCTTCGCTCTGAGCGCTTGCTCCCTCTGCGCCATCTCTGCTCTGTCCGCCGCGAGCGCTGCACGTTGCTGCTCGAGCTCAGCTTGGAGTCTCTCCTGGGCCAACGCACCTCTCGCTGCTGCTGTCTTGGCTCTCTTGTCCGACTTGGAAGGGGGGCCAACTACACCACCAGTTGGCTGCCTCCTGCCCTTCGGCTTCGCCATCGGCCGATAGCTGAGAGGCCCCTCTTTGAGCGTGCAGTACTCGACAACGGCTGCGTTGTGTCCAACGCTGGTCTGATGTGCGCGTGCGCGAAATCATAGGGTTTCCAAAAAGTTCCACATGCATGGCTAATTCGCATCCGTTCTGTTTTTTTTTTTTCAGGCCCGCACAAAAAAATAGTGAAAAAGTACCCTATATTCCCCGGCAACTGCTGTACCTTATGGTTGTCTGATGAGAGCAAGGCCCGGCTCATTTGAAAGCTGTGGTTTCCGTGTTTCATTTGATGTGTGGTGGGTCTGCTAGCCGTGCTGTAGATTGCGTATAAAGCCTCTGGGCAGTAGTGCTTGTTTCCAGCTGTCCAAGAATATTTTTTAACACTGCTTGAGAGATCAAAATACTGTCGCCAAAAAAAGGAAAAAATTGCTCCCACTAACTATGTGCCACCGTAATAGTGACTTCATTCTGCTTCTGTCGCGTGTTACCGATCATGTTAAACTCAACATATCTGATGTCCATCTGTCGCGCTGGTTCGCGGAGTGTGCTTCGGTGAACAGCATCTTTGCCTTTGCCAAGAAGGTACGCTGCCTCGCTTAGTCCACGGCTCCTCACACTCTTGAAGCGATCCAAAATGCTACGATAACTCCGAGTTGGGCGGCGGCGCCATCACTTCCCCACCCCCCGCACCTCCAACTTCTCCAGCCCCATCTACCCCTATTTCTCTTTTTCGCCTGGTGGATTAGAGACGGGTGGGGAAGCCTGCATGTTCTTAGATGCGCACTCGTGGCAGGTGCGGTGCATCTCGATGCCATCGAGAACCTTCACCTCCCCACAAATCAGGTGCAGGCGTACACCGCAGCCACCATGGCAAGCATGCCCCTGGGGTGCCCGCAGTTCCACATCCGGCTGTTTGCGCAACTCTCCATCGGCGCACGGCATGTTGCGTGTGTGTACGTGTCCCGCGGTCCTGTGTCTTTGTGTGTGGAGGAACGCGGGATGTCCGCAAAATTTGAACCTGTGGTCGCTATTGCCCGCTGAAAACAGCCCAATAAGTCGCTATTGAGGGTTCGACCGGTTTAGCGACCCCAGGGTCGCTAAACCGGGGTGCAGCGGTGTCACGAGATTTTGGGGTCGCTAAACAGGGCATGTCGCTAAACAGGGGGTCGCTAAACCGGGGCCCCCACTGTACACGATAATTTTGTTTCCGAACAACCAGGACGTTACCACTTTTCGTGTGTGCTCAAGTACATCGCGACGCCAGCGGGAGGTAGGGCTACAGGGTGCAAATTCTCTGGGTCATGGAGTGAATTGCAACACCTCTGTACTGAGGGGAAAATGATGCATGTTTCAAGGTTTGCGTTTTTTTTGTTCTATCGACGCCACAAACAAGGTATACTGCATCCTCGCAAACGACAGAGACTTACAGTCGATGATCTCTAGACAGCCGGATCCATCGCTCCTGCCACAGCAGTTGTCATTGAACAACCCCACGGACACGTTGCACCTCGCCGTACACCCATTCATGCTCTGTGACGTGTCACAGGGTAGCGAATGCAGGGTCATCACGGAGGATCTCATCAAAGCTCTCGGGGACGTGATCACGACCGAGAATACCGAGGAGTACTTCCAAGAGAGGGTCGTCAACACGCAGAAGGTGAAACGTCCATGCTATAGCCTACCTCCGTATGACCTTAAGTCTCACAGAGAGCAAAACATCGGGCTTGTGCGTGTTGTCAAGCAAGAATTGAAGTTTCTCAGCTTTAACTACTCAACTTTCGTGTGAAATTCATTGAGTGAGACTCATGATGGGACGACACAGGAGAAAATCTAGTTTGGCGGCCTCGCTGTAGCTGTTCGTGCTCAATTGATTGGCTGGTGGGCATCCGTGCCCAGGATGGAAGCGTAGAGTTCCAAGAGTATGTTAGCTCCATGCACGTACCTGATAGTCCTCGTTTCGCGGATAGCGGCATGCTACAGCGGCGATTCAACCTCCGTCGCTCGGGCACACGCGATGGGTTTGATGTTATGTTGTTGCGTCGGAAATGAATCTCGAACGTCGTAGGGCCTACACAACCGTCAGTACCGCGGTTATATTGTCGTGTGAATGACTTCTGACAAATCTTTCAGCAAATCGTTACTTTTGGAAGCACACACGTGGCTGGATTCGTCACGCGAAGTCTCAGCTGAAGTACCATACCGCACCCCGCCTTTCCGCCCTTCACGTGAGCAGGACGCGGTTCAGCTCGGATGGTCTTACGACGCCAGCAAGCCTGAGTGGTGATCGATGATAAGCCTGCAAGAAGCGTTGGCTAGCCGCTGTTGGTAACGTATTCGAACGCCAATTTTCGGCATGGTTTTATCGTCCTACTAATGCGGCGGTGTTTTTCGAATGCTTACAGAGGAAGAGCGGTCGCCACGCGGTGCCTGGTTGTCGATTTTTAAGGGTGGGCACATCGGCATGGTGTGCATCCAGCACAGCAAGAGCTCGCGCGGGGCCTCAAGCTTGCGCCGGAAGTAGCAGGAACGCTGCGAGAGCCTGGCAAACGCGTTTGCAACGTTATCTTGCACGACTGCGGGTTTGTATTGGGTGCCGTTTCTGCCGTGCCACATTCTGACGTGGCGGAAGTGGGATATGGATACAGCCATGCAATTTTGTAGCCCTTAGCAAACGTCTTTGGAGAATCTTGGCTTCCGAAAGGACAAGCACTGTTGGGATTCTTATGTAGCAGGAGTTGGCCCATGGTTCGTGTGGGGCGGGAGAACTAGAAGAGCGCGATCGCATTGCCGCGTGAAAACTCAAGCGCCAAGGCGAGACACTGCGCAACTCTCTCGCCCGTTGGGGGGCTGTGTACATAAAAGGCGTCTGCACGCGCATGTTGGGATGTCCAGCGGGATGATCCTGATATCATCTGCTGTGCATGTGTTCCGTACTTTTTGTGCGGGGGTTGGTGCTCCCGACCCTGGTAATTTGTCGCGAGCTTTGGCGTGGCTCGGCCCGGAAATTCTCCTCGTGTATGTAGGGTCAGAGGTGCAACAAGCGGATTGCTCGTGGAACGGTCGAGCGACAAGAAATCAAGGAATACGTCGGTGTATTTGTGTCTTGTGTGATTCCTGCACAGGTTGTTAAAGCGAGGGAAGGCCTAGGTTTCGAGCAGTATCTGGTAGGTGAGGCATTCGATGACGTGTTGACTGTTGGCAGAGCGATGGGCGGTCGGTTTTGCGAGCAGTGTTTGGTAGATTGGGACATGGAGGCGGGAAGAGATTGTTTGATTGCAGGCCATTCAATCGACATGGGAATCCATCTTGGATACATGCATGTTCAGCTCGCGGCGCATCCAATTGCTTCGAACAGTTTGGTACTTTGTTGGTATTGCTTCATACGTACGTTGAGCAATGGTCATTTGAATCAATCCTCGTTTCTCGAGGCTGATTTTGGTGCACGCTGTCCTAACGTTTTCTTGCGATCCCCTTACGTCTGTCGTTAGTCAGCTAGTCCCCAGAACATGAAAATACTCCCAGCCGTCTATCATCACTGCAAAACACCTCACGTGCACTACATTGGGGAAAGACTCACGCTGAGGGATTCAACAACACGAAAAGGTTCAACTTGACCTCACTCCGAACCACCTCATTACGCAAGCTAAAATTGTTGCAGACAAGATAAAACCGCGCCGAGCGCGAAGCCACTGCGGGAGCCGGGGCACAGCTCTCGGGGATGAAAGGTAAACTACGCGGGGTGCAGCAAGCCCGTCCTGGGCGTTACTTGGGGCACTGGGTAGTCGGCCGTGTTAGGCCGAGAGAGAGATGGAGAGAGAGTGGGAGAAGGAAACTTGATTGGAGAGACGGCGGTGGCGGTGGAGAGAGAGAACAAGTGCGCAGTACGCACCCAGTCATCGCACCAACCACGCCAGAAGGGTCCCCGTGACTGCACCAGTGGTACCCTACAACACACGAAATTACGAACACGTATCCCCCTGGGATCTTCACCACCAGATACTGCTGCGAGTATATCGAACATCCCCCGTGCTCGCAACAGTTTCTCGCTGAAAACTTCGCCAACACCCGATGTCTCAACCAAAAGACGGCTTTCCCAGAACATAAGCCATCAAGATTACTTCCAAAATGTTAGAAAATGAAAAGAATTCCAAGAAACTTGGATACTGCATCGCGCACGATTGATACCTCATGCGCGGGAAACAAAACAAAACCTAAACACAACCCATCAGAAAAACAATAAATGGTCATGCCAAATTCATCACAAATCACGGTGAGACTCGAAAGTGTCCTTCGGCAAGCTCTTCGTAAGAAAATCTGCACGCTGGTATGGCGACGGCACGTGGATCGCCGAAATTTCCTTCCTCTCTACCAGCTCCCTGAGAAAGTGGTGCCTTATACCCATGTGCTTCGAGTTCGACTTTGAGATGGGGTTCTGCGCTAGTTGAATCGCCCCCTGGTTGCCCTCGAAGACTGGGATGCACAGCATGCCGACCTGCGGCAACATGACGTCATCTTACCACGAACAATATCAAACATAATACACAAGTCCTGCTCCTTCTTCACGCTACCAAGCCAAGGTTCTATTTCTGAGCCAGGGTTCACACGTAAATTCAACGTGCCTGAGCGGGCAAAGCCCTGTTGTTGAAAGCAATGGCCTCAGCTGTCGCCTTAGCCGCTTGTGCCACGATGTGTGCGACGCTGCTGGGATCGTTGAAGGTGGCTGGTTTGCCCTGGCTGGAGGGTGATGGCTGGTTGCCNCTGGGATGCACAGCATGCCGACCTGCGGCAACATGACGTCATCTTACCACGAACAATATCAAACATAATACACAAGTCCTGCTCCTTCTTCACGCTACCAAGCCAAGGTTCTATTTCTGAGCCAGGGTTCACACGTAAATTCAACGTGCCTGAGCGGGCAAAGCCCTGTTGTTGAAAGCAATGGCCTCAGCTGTCGCCTTAGCCGCTTGTGCCACGATGTGTGCGACGCTGCTGGGATCGTTGAAGGTGGCTGGTTTGCCCTGGCTGGAGGGTGATGGCTGGTTGCCAGTAGGTGGGACTGGGTTGCCGGCTGGTGGTTGGGCGTAGGTGACTTCGCCCTCGTTGATCCTGTCAGCTTCAAGTTCGGCTTGTACTCGTTGCTGGACGATCTCCTCCACTTTTTGTTGTAGCTCGTCCCCGCTAAGGGCGGAGAGGTCGATGCCCTCCATGGTGTCTGTTGTTGTGGGAGTCGACCGATTGCGCGTGACTGCACAACCCGCGGAAGGCTAGGCCCGCGCTAGTGTGAAAGGTAAACTAAGCGGGGTGCAGCAAGCCCGTCCTGGGCGTTACTTGGGGCACTGGGTAGTCGGCCGTGTTAGGCCGAGAGAGAGAGGTAGTGAGAGAAGCGGAGAGAGAGTAGGAGAAGGAAACTTGATTGGAGAGAGACGACAGTGGCGGGAGAGAGAAGGAAGAAGTGCACAGCACGCACGCAAGCCTCATCGCACCAACCGCGCCAAAAGGGTCCCCGTGACTGCACCAGTGGTACCTTACAACACACGAAATTCACAACACGTATCCCCCTGGGATCTTCACACCCAGGTACTGCTGCGAGAATATTTAACAGGGGAGAGCGTCAGGTTGTATCTGCGGGAGGTGTCGCCTCCCACATTCTACGCCTCCGAAAACAAAAACCTCAATAAGAGCACCAAGACCGCTGACTTGGCACCTAAAATGGCAACAATACAGTCGACGAACCGCCAAGTCCAAGACGATCTTAAGCGGATTTGGAGCTCGCCCATTCGACCAACTCCTGCTGAAAGGTCATAGGGGGGTCCGTTCCCGGACGACGCGACTTGACAAGCCTGAACGCCTCGGCGAAATCGCCAACTCCTGCGGGGGTACCTTTCCCATTTTCTTTCATCGCCGCGGCAATCGCCATCGCTGCGCTTCTCCCGGTACCGTGTGTGCAATGGATCAGGACGCCACCGGCAGCCACGCCGTCGTCGACAAACGGTAGGCTTTCGCTCAAATGAGGCGTGAGGGGTCCGTCATCACCACCGAATTTGATTACCCTGAAAAAAAAAACGAGCAGCGAGAGTAAGAGCCTGTACTGCCGTTCGTGCAGCAGGAAATGTACATCGCATTGTGTGCGTTGTTCTCCATTATTTCTTTTGGTCGGGGGAAACAGGTGGTTCGTGTTGTCTTCGGATTTGTGCAACAATCCTCCGAACAACGCCCATGAAGGCACGACAGAGCAGTGCTAGACACTTCGACCTTTACAGAACAACCAACGACAGATCCCCCGCGATATTAATCCTCCTGCTACCCGCCGCATGCCCTCGGAAGCGAAATTAACTTGGACGGTTGAAACGCCGTCACCACTTATATAAATTGACACGCACACGCAGTACTGACAAGCACAGCAAGAAGAGGCAAACCATAGACACCAACAAAGGCAGTTGCAGTAGTCTCTATCACCGACGGACCCATTGCATCCCTCCTGTCTCACCTGTACTCAAAGTCGTCTTTGAAAGCCGGCTCCTTGCCGTTAACCGTTAGAACGTGCGTAACGCCGTGGGCCTTGAGACTCTCTTTGTCCCTCGCCGCCTCCTGCAGCCGAGAAAATCCAGGAAGCATGTTCGTCGAGGAGAGGCGTGCGGTACATCCATCAATAGAATATCTGGAGCTGGTGAAAGGCATGAAGCGATTATGTTCACCATGTACGTGGCATCATGTAGAAAGTTGCTCAAGAAAATATGGGCGAGCTGCCTTCATAAAGGCGACGCTTTGTAGCAATGTTTTATGTGCAAAAATCAAGATATGCAACACGCTACTATACGCTTCGAGATTCCCCCCCCCTTCACCTGACCGAACAAGTCACGAATCTTCCAAGAACAAAAAGATTAACCTCAACCACACGCCTTACCTACGACCGACCACGTCAGGAGGCAATGATGAAAGAATGTTCTCCCGTGCCCTTCGCACATTTATGGGCATGAAATTACACAAAACTGGGAGACCACTCCCGTGTGCCGCACAATTTGACACAGATGCATGCATATGCATACCAAACTCAATTACTTACCAAATCATATTCCTCGCGTTAAATGCATACCAAACTGGAAATACACGTGTAAAATGGATGGAGATCCACAACCAACAGGGTGCCACACATAAAACACCCGACTAACTAACAGCCCAACACTTTTCGTCTACACCTTCCCAACATAACATATATAAGACACACAACACAGCTACCAAACTGTCTTGTTGAGCCTGTTATCCGCAGGGGAGATGTCCATATATGCTGTCTGGGAAATCGTGGACACACAACAGGTAGTTTTCTTTGACGCTATGATTCCATTGCTAATCTGTCTTTGACTCTTTTCTCTGACGGAGATGGACTCGTTGTGTTGTATTTGGAAAAATAAAAAAAAAAAAAAAAGATTCGAACCAAACATGCACGGCTTCTCCTTGAAGTATTCCAGACTGAGTGTAATGTTTTCTCGCACTGCATTTGACGGGAAAAGTGACGGCTGCCCTTGTCGCTTCACAACGCGTCTCTGTCAGTCCATGCACACAGGAAGAGACCTTATCATGCGCTGCTGTTGAACAAACATACATCTACGGTATCACGGTGCAGGTCGGCTACATGTACACAACTACTGCCATACTGCCACATTCGTAGGATCGCTCAGCGGCGGTACCAACAGTAAAATACCCAAGGGTAGATCTCGAGCTCGAAGGTGCTCGAGCAGGCTACCAACTCCGTGTGTAGACGAAGTCCGCCAGTCATGCGCGGAAGCGCAACTCACCATTGAGCCCAAAAACACCTTCGGCAACACCTCGTGAGCTTCGCCATCTTTCCATTTTCTCGCCGAGAATTCCTCCGCCTGCACAGGGGCCGCCATCTTCCCGCTTACACGCCGACGGGTCGTGGAGAAGTGACGAACGACAGCGGTTCCGCACGAAGCTTCCTAGCCAAGGATGGGTACGGAACGGCGGTGGGCGGCTGCTGTGGGAGGAAGGTAGGCGACACAAGCCGCAACACGCACCGGAACATGGCGAGCCTCGTGCTCTCTGGTACTGCTGTACCCCCACATGAATCCCCCCCTCTCCCCGACAAATCACAATATCTGGAATACGGGGGAGTGGAAAACTTTTTCTGCGGACGCCCTACCACCGTTGTCGGTCTGATCCACACGCGCGGCGAACGGCACAGACGGTAGCTCGGGCTTCCAGGGGACAGATCACAAAAGGGAAACCGACAGCATTTTGCAAAGGAGGTGAGGATGTTGAGGAAGAAAAACTGTTGTGATGCCCATTGGTGATGGTTTCGGTCGTGCTGAGAATGGAAGTCGTGAGAGCTTTCTCGCAAGACAAGTCGAAGAACATCGGAGATGTCTGCTGGTAGCTGCGGGTTTAGACGAAGCCTGCATTGCTAGCGCTCTGGGTTGTGCGTGCTCATGTCTTCTGTAGCAGTGCTGGCGAGCCTGATGCCATCATCCACTGCTTAACCACCCACAAGACCAACAACTGGTGTGTTGATCAACGAGATATTCATGCCATTCTGCGGAGCTCCTCACTTCCTCCCTCGACGGTGTTGCCTCTCGCACGTCCAGCGTGCCCTGCTCTGTCGTGTCGATGGAAGACAACCCGATCAGCTGTTGTCCGTTGGCGTGGGTATGGTCGAGACAAGGGACACGCCGAGTCTGTGCTTTGCCGTGTCTTGAACTCTGCCTCTCTGGGAAAAGCGCCTCCCGCAATCTTGTATCTTTCGACCGCATCCATGCCGTCGTCGCCGTCGTTCTTCGTAGTTGTCGATCTCAAGCCACGGACACAGCTATCTGGACGTCTGTTACCTTGCACCAAAGAAAACGAAGAACCGTCGCCAATCTCCCTGGTGTCCATGTTGCCTTCCTTAAATGTCCGCGTGTCAGACGCAACAAGTTCGGGAGGCACAGAGTCTAGTTGCGGGCGATTTCGCGCTTCGATTGCGCCTGCTGAGTATCACACGCAGCTATGTTCCGCAATCAGTACGACACGGATGTGACCGTTTGGAGCCCGCAAGGTCGTCTTCACCAGGTGAGGTGCAGTATGAACCGCCAGGAACACGAGCCCCACTGTTTTTGTTTGCCCTAGCGCTTTTCTGTCGCCGCGGCTACCGGATGCGCCACTGCCGCATCTCTGTAGTTCCTGAGAATCGCGAACAGCATGTTCGGCGTGAGGTTGCGAGTCTTGCATCATGCCGGCTTGTTGTGGGGTCAGAAGCAAGTGATACAGGTGTTGTTGCACGCGGCCCTGTTCCGCACCACCTCACCCGTGCTGGGGGCCGCTCACCTAGGCAGCAGCAGTCCAGTCTTTATTTAGGCATGTAGACGTCTTCTTTGCTGCCAGACGAGCTTAAGCCACTCGGCGAATGTTCGCCTTTTACCTTATCTCGAACCCCGCGAATGTCGGCCTTCCCAGGTGGAGTATGCGATGGAGGCGGTGAAGCAGGGGGGGGCGTCGTTGGGGCTCCGCAGCGGTAGCCACGTGGTTCTGGCGGCCCTGAAGAGGGCACCGAACGAGATGTCGGCACCCCAGAAGAAAATCTTCAAGCTCGACAGCAACATGGGCGTCGCCATCGCGGGGCTCACCGCGGACGCTAGGTCGCTGGCGAAGTACATGCGAACAGAGTGCCTCAACCACAAGTGAGTCGTTCAGTTGTCGCGCCACCTTTCCTGGGCGGCATTGGCTGTGTCTATCGGGGGCACCGCTGTTTCGCTCGGGTATACGTGCGTCGAATGCGACCGGGGATTATGATGTGCTGCAGCAACATCAGCACGTGAAGAGAAATATCAAAAGCATAACTGGAGGTCGAACACCGTGCGATAAAAATCAAGCACAGTAGTTTAACCGGCCAAGCGATGCCTACCCTTGGCGCTTGAAAACGCGCCCCTTTCAGTCGATGCATCGAAAGAGACTTCATCAACTGCCGCAGACAAACACAGCGGTACATTGGGCAGACCCCGGCTAGATCCTGCAGGATCGCTCAGCGGGCGCACCACCGGTAAACGCATTCCACAGGGGCCAGAATCCCGAGCGCGGAACGTGCTCGAGCAGGTCATAGCTCGAGAATTCCGGCATTTCTTTGTGCTCTTCCGTTGTGAAAGTCACAACGAGTCGATATCGGTATTGAACTCACTCACATAACCATACTCTCACCATCGACCGTCGAGGCTACACCATTCTCTGTCTCCCCACACTTTTGCCAAAATTAACAACTCAGTCAACCCAACACCAAGCTAGCCTCCCGCCGGTGGGGTTACCTGACCCTCACGCCGATTAAACAGAAAACAAAGTATTTGTTTGTGCTCGTACGCGCAACCAGGGCGCCGACATGGGTCACCGTACTACGCCGCTCTGTATGCCCATCCGTGATACGCCCCGACCGTACGTTTGCTCTTGCTCGCGACGCCGACGCTTTCGCTGCCCACCCCCCTGCGCGGCTTTCCGCGTGTGGTCCCGGGGGCATTCCAGCGGGTAGTCCTTTCCGCTAGGCTCGAGATGTGATCCCTTTCCAGCAATTTCTCCAAGTGCTTGAACTTCGGTACCTGCACGCTGTCCGTCGTGTCCGGTGGTGGGCCACCCGCCGATGCGTCACCGGAGGGCACGACGAACGGCATGCAGGTACCCAAGTTCAAGGGCTGGAAGAAAGTCCTGGAACTGGGTGACATGTGGAGCCTAGCAGACAGGGTGAGGGGCTGGAAGGCCCCCACGTCTGCAGGTGGCCTCGAGCGGAACGATGCAACAGTAGCACATGGATAGAATACGAAAAGCAAAGGCACAAAGGAGATCCAACACGGTGCGGGGAATATTAAGCACAAAAGTTTTGCCGGCCAAGCGATGCCTTCTTTTTGCCCTTGAGAACGCGCCTCTTTCAGTTGATGTATCACAAGAAGAGAATGCATGAACTGCCGCAGAGAAGCACAGCAGCACACTGGGTAGACCCCCGCTGGTTCCTGCAGGATCGCTCAGCGGATGGTAAACACATCATACCATAACACAGGGGCCAGACACGGAGCGGGAAGATGCTCGCCCAGGTTTTTTGGCAAAGCGTGATGACGATTCGTCGAACTATCAACTCCTGCTTGCCAAATACTTGCAGCTTGAATTGAAGGTGGTGATTTCAGCCTGAACCATGCACAGCAGAAGAGAAAGGTTCACACGACAAGGAGTCAAAGTCAGGCGTAGCGCGTTTTTACCTTCCCCGCACGAACGTGACCGAAGAGTTTGGTTCACATGACAAAGAGGCAGTCGGGCTGTAATCCCTTCTCGTTCCCCGGGACAAAAATGTTTGGCAGGTACGTGTACGGAACCACCATGCAGGCGAGCCGCTTGGTCCTGGACCTCGCAGACATGCACCAAAGGACCACTCAGAGCTACGTCCGCCGGCCGTACGGCGTGGGCATGCTGGTGGCGGCGCACGACCAGACGGGGCCGCACCTGTTCCAGACGTGCCCCAGCGGGAATTACTTCGAGTACGTGGCCATGGCCATCGGCGCGCGATCGCAGTCGGCCAAGACTTACCTCGAGAAGCACTTCGAGGAATTCGAGGTGAGAGGGTACTGCCGCGCCGCGCCGCAGGAGTTACTCGTGTTGAAGAGACAGCTTGCTGCAAGAGGTGAAAAACCGTCGTCGTTATTGTTTTGAATCGATCTTCAACATCTCCAACTCTGCGTGAAACCTGCCTGTGGCTGTAGATGCGAAGGCGGGGCTGGGTTGACCGCCAACGGACCTCGCCGTTCTTTCGTTGACTCCGTGTTGATCGGCGGGGGGATTGGGCAAGCGTGCCGGCTGTACAGGGCGGCGAACTTCCGATGTTGGGAGTTAGCGCCGTCTTTCTTTTTTTTTTTTTCTAGCACTCCAACATGCGTGAAATGTCTCGTCAGACGATCGTACGCCCTGTCAAGCTTTACCGACCGAAAGGATCATTCCCGCGCCTTTTGCGTGTTGTCCTCCTTGTCGCGAAAAAACGCGGACAGAACTGCGACCTGGACGAGTTGGTCAAGCATGCCTTGAAGGCGTTATCTGGCTGCGTGACCGGGGACAAGGAGCTGGACGCGAACGGGCTGACCCTCGCCATCGTCGGCAAGGTGAGGCGTGCCTGAACGAGCTGGTTTTCCCATGCCTCGTAATTCTTGCCGTCCGCATTGGTCGGTCGTGTGGAGTACCTCTCGAATGCCGTGGTTGTCTAGGTGCGGCCAATTTTGTGCTTTTTTCCCGCCTGCTGTGAACGGCAAACTTAGGGCTGCGACAGCATTTCAGTGTCAATACCTTTCTTGTCGTAAACGCCGATGGACCCCATTCCGCTCCTGGATTGTTGGGCGACAAATCCAGCGACGGTCGACGAAGCATTCGGGGCGCCTTTCTGACCGGGCTTTTGGTGTGGCGGCTTCGGTGTCCGTTGTTTGTTTTGTTGAGCAGGACAAGGTTTTCGAGTCGCTGGAGGGCGAACAGTTGCAGCCCTACATGGATGCCATCGAGCTCGAGGGGAACGCGGCGCAACCCATGGACGAGGGGGACGGGGAAGAGAAGGTAAGCCAACAACCTCCATCATGGATGGGCATGTGTGATCATCCCTCTCGCAGGAGACGTAAACACGTCATACGCACGACGTTCCTGTTGGGCGCTCGTGTTCTTGGCGGTGTGTACATCACGTAGGTATAGAAACCGTGCCACTTCGAAGTTCTTTTTTCGTTTAGCCAACTATGTAGTGTGCGTGAATAAAACACACAGGCAGGTCGTAATTTACTTTCGAAGTGCAAGTCGAATGCCAGCGAAAGGTGGGTGGATATCTTAACGGAGCGCCTATACTCTGTTCAACTGCAAGTTCCCCCTTTGTCACTAATACCTTGCCGCATCTGTGAGAATATATATCTCGGCTAGTCGAGGTAAAATACGAGACATACCCAGTTTCGATAAAGTACGCCTAACAAATATCTACACAACCCGCTGCCACGTGTTGCAATCCAACATGTAGGGGGATGGCACTCTTGAAATGTAGGAACCGATCGCCGCAGATACGGCACAGGCTGCTGCCCAACTCGAACCCCCACGCCGGGATTCTCTTTCCCAAACGCTTACTTTGATATTTCATCGCTTCAATGATAACTTTGATGATAGATCGCGTTGGTTTAGACTTTTGTCCATCCACTGGGACATCATCACTACGATATTGTTCCGTGTCCGAGCGATGCTAGGTTATTGCAGCTCCGACGAATGTCAGCTTTAGAGTGTCGTCTCATGCCGCACCCATATTCATGTCCCGATTCCGACTGCTGTCCAATTTCTTCAGGCGCCGGCTCCGGAGGCAGGAATGACATGAACGGCGTGAAGCCCTGGCCAGGAGGTGGCATGCTGTTCCCTGGCGGCAAGAATGGCGTTTCGTCAGTGTTTTGGGCTTCACACAAGCCGTTTTTGGTTTCTTTTGCTTTTTTGTTGTCGCGGTCCTATCTCCTTCGTATTGCAGCCGGTGCGTGACGTTAGGCGCACTTCGGTGCTGCCAATGACAGCTTATGGGGTCGGGGGGTCGCGTGAGTACAGCGACCATGCGAAAATGTAACCTGTTGCTGGATAGCTCGATAACACGTGTCCGAAGTAGGCCTGAAATCGTAGGATGGGATGCTCATCTGCTCCCGTTTTTGTTTGTTAGGCGAGCAAGTGGCGCGCTTGCCAGGTGACGAGAATGAGAGGCAGTTTTTTTGGTTTGCCTGGAAGCTTGCCCTTCGGGTACATGCTAGCCGCTGTCCTTTTTTTGCTCAGGTGGTTTCTCGACGCACACGTGACTTTTTCGCGGATTTTTGTACAACGTTAACGAGTCGAGCTAGGCAAGAGAAGCGTCCCACACTGGTGACGGTCCACTGCTTCACGCGTTGCACCCACCGACAACGAGATGAACTTGTTCATACCAGTGTTGTTGTTGTTGTTGTTGTTGTTTTTCTTCACATTAAACTCGTGTCAGTTGCTAATCCCAAAATCTAGCAAAGACTCGGTCCGTGGTCACAAAAGTGTACTTTAAGTTGGTTATACTCGACAAGCGACCCGATAGCTGCCAGCCCAGCAAGCCCTCTGGGGAATTGCGATGAGGGTTTGTTTGCGGGTACGCGATGTGTGCCTCCTATGCTTGCCGCCGGTGACGGTCGACGCCTCCCCCTCTTTGGTGGCGGGTTGTAGATCGTCTGAAGCCCCCCTGTTTAGACACAGAACTCGCGGCCAACACGGCAGGAGACGTGCTATGCACACAACGACCATATTTGATTAGGTCACCAGTCTCGACAACCCAAATTGTTTGCGGACAAAACAAGGTTATCACACGCCACCCACGTTGATGAAGCTGCAACCACTTCCTCGAGACAAAACGTCTTGCATGCGAGGCAACCATTGATGGACGCGAAGACGAAGGAGAGGGGAAGGAAAAACATTTTTCTTGGAAATTGCTCGCGGATGAAAATCCTCCGTCTGCCCCTGGGGCACGATTGCATCTTCACGACAGAGGACCCGATACAGACTCCTTCGCTGCAGGCAGTAGCGTCCTTTCAAAGCCCTTTTTCTGCACTTAACCTCGCCCCCTGTGGCTACATAACAGTGGCGGTTGCGTTGGATGTCGCCCGTAATGCAACGGACGGAAGGTTTTAATCGTTGATCATGCGTCGATTTCACCCCCGTACCTTATTCCCGTCTCAAGGATCTGAAACAACGCCCGCAGAGCGAGCTGAGTGCTAAGCGCCACCTAAGATCCCCATAGATCACCCATAAATACCATCCAACACGCAAGCTGGACTACCTCCTGCATACATGCCCCGCCACCTCGAGATATCCGAGAAACAGAATGATGGATCCGCGATCCGCGACCGGCGGGGGCACCGAACACAGCATTATCCATGCGGATGAAAGACTCTATCTGTCGGCCCCCCTCCGCTTCGTCTGTCCTCGTGTTTGTCTGCTGCCACGTCTCCCGCTCACTGCCGCTGCTGTGTAGCAAACGCTATTTTCCTACATCCCACTTATCTCAGAGATGAAAGCATGCTACGCTTTGGCAGTGGTCTTGGGCCTCTGCAGGGGGCCCACAGCAGTGGTGTCGTTCCTTCCCCCCCCGGCCACGGCGCTTGCCCTTGCCCGCGCCAAGAGCAGTGCCTCGGAAGCGGCCGGGCCGTCGATTGCTGCATCAAGCGTTGCTGCAGGGGGCCGTGGCTCTCGCCTGGCTGCGGCCCGCGAGGACTGCAAGAGCTGCATGGAGGCGGAGCTGTTGGAGGAGGAGAGGAAGGCAGCCGCAAAGGGGGGTGGGGCGGAAGGCGCTGCGACCAGGAGGGGAGCGTTGGAAGAGGTGGGTGTGTTCGCGCGCGATTTAGTATTTTCCGAAGGTAGCCGACCACCTCACATGGGTGTGTGTGCGCACAGTCGATGCTCCTTGGCCCTGCTGTGCTGATAACGTTGACACGACCGTCCCTGTGATACAATTTCTATTTGTGCTGTTGGTGAGCTTGCAATATAGAAAACGGAAAACGAACGATTGATTCTAGATGCGCGGGCCTGCAACTTGAAACTGTAAAACATCAGGTACATGTATCTAGTTGCTCTTGTTGTCGAATGGACTACGACCAGAGAGGCCGGCGAACACCGCTCGTCCCCAAAGCGCAACCTTGATCTGCTGTATGAAGTTCGGAGTATGTCAACGGTGTACAGTGGGGGGGCCTCGATAACGCCGGTTGAGTACCGCCGGTGGCCCTCTATAGCGCCGGTGAAACTGTTGGGCACAGCCAGAGCCCGCAATAGCGCCACACCAGCGTTATTGAGGGCGGGCCGCAGTAACGCCGGTTTGGGCACCTCTTCAAGTATTGTACACCCCACAATAGCGCCGTTTTTTTTTTGACACACACATAAACCACATACCACGTGCATCTACAGACCCTGCAGCTTTACGTAGAGGCGCACCATGCCATGTGCGAAAGGTGAATTGTGCGAGTCGCCCGACACTTCGCCAAAACCCCCTCTTGGGCAACGCTGTCAAGAAGGATGTGGCGGGCGGCCCCACGCCAATTGCGGAAGCATCGCCGACGACGACGAAATGCGCCGCAGCTGCAGTCCTTGTCTAGCCAACGCTGGCAAGGCGAAAGTGCTGTTGGCACATTTCTCGTCCACATCTGTTTTACTTTCTTTCGTCATTTCGCTGTCGCAGAGTCCTCTCTGCAACAAGAACTTTTCCGGCTGCACAGCGCCTATTGTGAGGCAGGAGGATCAGCATGCTGCCGCCTTTATAGATGATCATATAGTAAACACAACAACTCTAGGCAGTCCAGGAGCATACCATAAACTACGGAGTTCCCACCCGGGTTTGAGTTTCCCACCCCCCATTAATATCGGCCTGGAAGCATGAGTTCGTTGATTTAGCCCCGGGGTAGATCGTTTTCGACCAAAAGAAAAAAAAGATCCCCCGGGGTATGTCCCGGATTTCCCCCCGGGAGTACCATTTTTCCCACGAGTTCCCCCCGGGGGGGCGTACCCTTATGTTTTGCGTGTCCTAGCGGTTAGACCATTGACCACGCGTCCTCGAGAGGACGGAGCATTGTTCCCACAGGACCGATCACCGACGGCAATCGTTCCTTTGTACTTCGCCAAAGTTGGCTCAAAAATGCCTTCCCTAGTCTGTCTATCCTAACGATATCCCTTCCCGCCTTTTCAACCCACTTCCTGTGCCCCAGTACAGCTACCGTCCTTTCCTCTCTTTTCCATGCCTCAAACATCTCCCTGTACGTCCCATCTATTTTTCCTAGCTCAGTTCCCCCCGGCTGGGGTGTATTTCCCTTGTTTTCTGAGTCGCTTTTGTCGCATCGCGGAGCACAAAAAGCATGATAAAGGACGAAAATTTCACCTGCAAATCTGCGCTTCTAGCGAGATGTAGGTGTGCCGTTTGTCACTTGGCCCCCGCCGTTGTTTTCTGGGTGAAATGCTTTCTTTTTTTGTCTATTTCTTGCATTTATCATCCCTGGAGTCAGCTGAAACGTACCACATAGCATGCTGAAGAAACCTTGCGCACAACGGGAAAAAAGAATCGTATTTGTTTTTGGATCTCACAACTCAAGGTAGAGCTGAAGGATAAAAATAGCTTTTTCCTGCGGACGAACTACGAATTCTTGTGCATGAGCCTAGGCAATGGTACCTCTTGCTGTCTTTTTTCTCTTCGTCTTTGTTGCTCTTACGTTCCTCCTCCCTCTGCTTGTTGAACGCTTGCTCGTCAACCTTTTTCCATTTCAGTTTCACCACTCCCTGTATGTGTGGTGTGTGGACCATCATCATGTTGCACAACCCCCCGGGGGGGAGCTTCCCCCGAGGGTAGCGTTGGAAAACAGCAATCAACCCCCCGCGGTAGGGCAATTTCCCGCCGGGGGGGGTTGGTTTAAGAAAGAAAACGATCCCCTCTCCGGGGGGAAAACTCCGTAGCTTATGGTAATATATCCTTTGCAGTCCGCCCACTTCACCTCCCAATCGTTTCTTATTCGATTTGTGAATATGTTGGCTCCGTAAAGTGTAATCAATCTCTGCGCCATATGATCACAAGCCCTCGATAGTGCCACAACCGGCGACATTTAGGGTTTCTGAGCCCTCAATAGAGCCGGTTGTGGCGCTATTGAGGCACTATTCCAATAGCGCCGGTCAATGCGCTGGGCACATACCGGCGTTATTGAGTGCCCCCCACTGTATTGGCTAACAGTCCGCATACAACTCGTGACCCGTGGTAGATGATGGCTGAATACGAAGGTCCATGCCGCAGATGTAGGCGTGGGTGAACTGCAGCCCGGTTCCACCTGGACGCAGCAGTGCACCACATGGACGAAAGTAGACCGCGTGTGGCCACATGCCCTTGTCCACCGTCGATTACGGTATCTGCCGCGGCTGGCCTTCAACCCGAAGTTTTCGGCTCAAAGGTACACAGGAGAGTCAGTTGTCAGTTGGACACCCATCTTCATGCACCTCCGTCGTTCGTAATATAACACCCTCTACTGCTGTACCGTCGCCTTTGACATAATGTGGAAATTGAATTACACTTTCCCCGTCCCCTTCCGCTCGATCCTCGATTGATTGCAGTTTAACCGGCGGGAAAAAGCTCGCAACACGAAGATAGCATTCGGGTCGTTCCTGTCGGCGGTGGGACTGTTTTTTTGCCAGCATGCCGCCATCGCCCCCGCGCAGGTACAGTAAGACCGGTGTTTTTTGTTTTTTTTATCAGCATCGATTCCGCTAACGGGCTGACCAATCAAAAGACCGTCCGGTCCTCTACATGTTCTGGTCGTGTACGTTTGCAACACGGAGCATGAAGTTGTAATCGTGGCTCTGCGGCGAGCTTCTCCGAACCGGGTGTTAAACCCCTGCGATACGTGAATGAGGTGGAGTTGACCACGCGTGGTGTGGAATTGTGTGGCGCGCCGGTGTCTATCCCTCTCTATTTGTTCGGAACAATATTGTGTTGAGGGCATTCTCCGCGTGTTATTAGGAGAGCTGTTGTCCAGTGGATGTGCTCGAGCAACCCTGACGATGACATCCGTCAGCGAGCGGTACGTAATTCTTTTCCAGGTCTCAGTGGTTATGGTCGAGTGCTGAATAACCCGTGTTGCTCACTCTCTCGATCTCGCATAATTTTGCGACACGTCATCTTGGAAAAACCCTAGCAATTCGAGGAATCATTCCCTTGTGCCCGTTGCCAGTCGGGACCGCATGCTCACTATTTTCGACTGATCCCATCACCGTATGTGCCGTATGGACAAGCTCGTTCGACGTGCTCAAGGAGTTCAGATGTGCCGACACTTCGAAACCTCTAACGTCGGTCGAGGCGGGGGGGCTTACTTCCTCGTGTGGGTTAATACAAAGTTGCCGCCATATACCGTAAGGTTGCGAGTCAGCACACAGGGACAGGGGTGAGACCGATTGTCAAAGCGCAATTTATCCACAACCAGATGGTTCTCACTGTCCAAAAGGGCGGTTTCGTAATATCTTATCGAGAGCTCGCCTGAGAAGTATCAGTTGGCGCTCGCACCGTCCTGGTTTTGGAGAAATTACGCTTTTGAGATCGGTCGCACCCCCTGTCCCTGTGCGCTGACTCACAACCTTCCGGTAGGTTTTTGTGTAGGGGTTCTTAGCCGGGCTCAACACTAATGATGGTGCTCAACTTCTTGTGTCTCGATGAAATGGTGAGAGGGGAGTTTTACCAGCCAGGTCCTTATGTGCGTACGTTATCTGTATGTTTTTTTTTCCGGGAGCCTCACGCTCGGAGGTATTCATTTATTTACTTATTTATTTTCGCCACACAGGCGAACCCGGTGGTACTATTGCGGGCGATGGAGACTACCTCGGCCCCGCTGGCGACCGCCCTCACGAACGGGAAGCCTACGGTGGTGGACTTCTACGCCGACTGGTAAGTGCGGCCTCGCATGGTCATGCTTGTCTCCATTGTGTGTGTGGGTCAGTCGGTCTGCGTGCATTTGAAACCGCTGTTCTTTTGCGATATCCTGTACACCGAGACTGATGCCGACGGTTTATGCTCCCTACCCGACACGCACAGAATACTTTCAGGTATGGTTGTTCAGCGCTTTTAGTGTGGACTGTTGTTTCGCGTGCAGATCGCTCACGGATTGGGTTTGGGTACATGTAGACCAATCATAGAGGAAGTGGGAGCCTCGTCTCAAGCGAGACGACTTGTGGTCAATCGTTTACATGAGTGATTGCTTTAGAAGATATGTCTCCCTCCGAGAATTCTTTCATCTCCACCTCGTACTCATCTGCACGAAGCAGCCAAACATTATCTCACCCGTGCAGCTGGTTCCTGCTGAGCACGGAGACGTCGCAACGAAGTAGCAGGATCTCGACGCCGATGGGGCACCGGTAGCGAAGTCTGGCACACTTGTTGCGCGCCGGCATGTACGCGCTGCAAGTCCTACCCTCCGCTTTTTGAATCGGATGCCCACTACCACCCTTCCCTGCCCCCTGGGTGTTCGCCCATTCGGACCAAGGTGCGAGAACTGCAAGGCGATGGCTCCCAGCATGAGAGAGATCGAGGAACAATTTAAGAACCAGATCAATTTCGTGGTCGTGGACGGCAGCGCCGAGAAGAACTATGACTTGGTGAGTGCCCTTGTAGGGTACAGCGATAGGGCATGTGGTTTCCTCAACACTGTTGAGGGTAGAACAGCACGACCGGACGGCGGCAAGAGGTTCATTTCACCCTCAAGTTTTGCCAGCCCCTTGGTCCATCTCAAACTGATAAATTATTCGAATTTTCGACAACATTCGAAGTTACCACCTTTACCACCATGAAATGTAAGCGAAACACAAGGGATTTGAACGCTCAGCTTGAAGCTTGGCGACCTTTTGAGGCCCGTTCACTCGACGGCTGTCCCTACACCGTCGTTTTTCGATGTGCTTGCACTCCACACCACATCTTTCGACTGATCTGTAGCAAAGGCTTCTTTCTGCTGCGCTTCCTGCCTTGCCGCTTCGTGTAGCATTTGCCACCTCTTTCCCGTGACAACTTCCTTGACTGTTTGACCCCCCCCTTAAAACGGACAGGTGGATGCGTTCAGGGTGGACGGTATCCCTCACTTGGCGATGGTCAATGGCAAGGGGGAGGTAGAGACGGCCATTGTCGGAGCGGTACCGAAGGACGTGAGCACCCCCTTCCTGACGTCAGAGGGGATGTTGCATCCTATTCCGTGCTGATTTTCTCTCACGGGTCCTTTTGTCAGGCTACCGTCTTCTTGTTCAAAGCGAAGTTCCTTCGGGGTTTTAGAGCTCGTCGCATGCCCGTTTTAGCGGAAGGAAACGTGCCATGCAGACGGCGTAACAGGTGGCTGAGTCGGACCGTGGGTAGTGTGGGGGTACTTGCGGCCTTTGCCGCACATGCATGTGGAGAAGGTTTGGTGTTTTTTTTTGTTTATGCCGTGTGCCGCGTTGCTTGAAGGGTTGAGACGTGCAACTTCCGTCGGGACGTCGACTCTAAACCGTTGCGACTGCTTGTGTGCATCTTGCATCCGACGTCCAACACGTTTTGTGGCAGCATGGGCTGACCAATCCGTGACAACTCCGTCCGTGCGAAGGAATAACTCACCCTGCATTCATTCTCGCGCGGTGTCCGTCCCGCTTGTGCTGACAGGTTGTGGTGGACGATATCAAGGCCTTGTTGGCCGGTCGGCCCTTGCCCTTCAAGGGTTTCGACATGTTCGAAGGGGAGGACCACAACATCAAGGGACAGATCGAGATCGATGGGTGAAAGCGCGGACCGACTTACGTTGTTGTCCGCCGTGTTTCCACCCCCAATTTTAGTCTTTCATCGAACGCTCTGTGTTGTTTTCTTGGATTTGGTGAGTCATCTGACTGAGTTGGATCGCACCGGGCCGTGGGGGGGCATGTTGCGACGTGTCATGCCGAGCAGGGCGTCGACTTGAGTATCGTCCCAGGACTTGGCGGCTGGGGGCGCCGTGGTTTGATTCGAGGGAAGGATGCAATGGTTGACCGCCGTGGTCTTGTAGCAACAACACGATAAATATTCTGAGTCGTAACCCTCACACGAATGTGTTGGGCGTGCGGCGATATCGTGCAGCAGTGTGTCTCGGCCTGAGAAAGGTTTGTGGGGCGGTGGAGTCGACCCTTCGTGTAACACTACGCGCTTGGAGGCCCTCCTTTGTTTTCGTTTGCCGTGGTGGTGGGCAGTGGGGATGTAGTTGCGAGGCGAGTGTAGTCATTCCGAGAGCTTGCGCCTGGCACCCTTTCCCTCTCACGGCCCTTTTTTTGTGACCATTGCGCCGACGTGACTGGGTCTGGGGGTATCGTACACCTCTTTCCCCTCGACAGCGGTTGCCGAGTACCAGCCGTTCGATGTCGTGAGTAGTCAACGTCGTCTTGGGGCAATGTTGTCGCGTGGTGGTATACTAGTCGTTCACCGAGTTTGAGCTTGCTTCTGTATCACGCGTGGTTGCGGGGTTTGGTTAAGTGGTCGGGGGCGCGGCGTCGTACGGCCTTAGGTACACCGTGTGTTCGTGAACGTGAAAGAAACTGGGCTTGTCGCTATGGGGCGAGACTAGGCGTTCTCATGGTTGCCTTTCGCTGTTCTCCGAGTTCCGGTTTGTTCGGTAGAGGTTATGATGCAGTCGCCGTACCTGGCCGTACGGTCGTTGTAAATATTGAGTTCTTTGAGGCTTCTCGTTGGGATCAGAGGAAGTGAAGTAACGCTCCTGCGGACGTGTACAGAGTATCCTGCAGTGGGCACTACAGAGAGAAGGCAGACGTGCAATTAATTGTGTTTCAGGTTCAGTGTAAGGTCACCGAAGAAGATCGACGCACTTTGGTGTTGGGTTAGTTGCTGGGATTTCTTGAAGGCCCAGCCTCGAAAATTCGTTTCGAGATGAACTTGTTTGTTCCCATCAGCATGGCGCTATAAGCTGCCGTCAGTGGGTAGGCTATGAGCAAGAATAATGTCTTTCGTTTCTGCGAGCGCGTCGTTGCAAAGTGGCACATGAACTACATTGCCGAAACTGAAAATTAACAACTACCCAACACGAAAATATTGAGAAGCTGACTAGTGATCATCGTGCCTCTCATAAAAAAACAACACGCACGCGTTCATCCCTAGGGCTACACTCACTTTCGGTAGGATGCCAAAAATGTTGCCTTATGCGTATGAACATGAAGATGTTGCCTAGATAAACGCATATGAACATAACGGGTTTGCAATTGCTGCAGCAGACGATTCTTGTACACTAGCTTTTTATGCAGCACTACCGGCCGGGAGATAATGAACAAACGTCAAAATCGGGTCTTGTCTCAGTGTCTTACTCGTTTCCACTGCTATACGCGCCGTTCTTTCTGTTTTCGGCGTAAATTGGAGTGATGCCGTCGTGGGCCGTCATGCCGGTTCTGTGCGGCGCAGTATATGCCGGTTCGGCCGGCGGCATAACGTTTGGCTTGTGGCGAAAGCGAGATGTTCTTATATTTTTTATTTTCTTAATATCACACAACAAATCCATCTCATCTATAGAAATACGTCTAAGATAGATTAGCTTATTATTTTTTTAATAGGAGTTTTTTCCGCGCGCGAAGCGCGCGTGCGAAAATAAAAACGGAGCGATAGCGGAGTTTTTTTTTCGCAAAAAAACTGTTTTAGATGGGTCCTTTTTGTTTTCGCGCCTGGGTTCTGCGCACGTTGAATAACACCGCCTGTCAGCCCGACCCCTGAATTAATTACTGTTCTCAAATTGATGTCCGTGTGTGTGCGTGTGTGTGCTCTTATTATTAGCATCGACCGCGCTAACCGGCTGACCAATGAAAAGACGTCAGTCTCAGTGCGGCGGGAAACACAAAATGTGAGTGCGTGTGTTTTTATTATTAGCATCGACCGCGCTAACCGGCTGACCAATGAAAAGACGTCAGTGAGTGCGTGTGTGTTTTTTTTTATTATTAGCATCGACCGCGCTAACCGGCTGACCAATGAAAAGACGTCAGTCTTAGT